GGGGGAGGGGCATTAGGAGGGGGTGACCTGGGACTATTGTGAGCAAGTGCAGGAGGCAGTGGGCAGGGCAGGCCGGGGGAACCCCCAAGCGTCAGGCAGAGCTAGGAGAACCCCTGAAGGCCAGAGGGGTCAGAAGGACTTCAGGCTTCCATTCGTTTGTTCACTCACCCCTTCTGCAGGGCCTATCATATGCCGGCCCCGATTCTGAGTGCTGGGTTATATACACGGCAGGGAGCTAAATAGACAAGCCCCTCTTCCCTAGAATGTAGCTTTCAGAGTGGGAGGCGGACAACAAGGATGAGCCACCGAACAGTGTTGTGGATAAGAGCGCTGCCAAAGGGAAAAGGAAGCAGGGCAGTGGGATGGGCACGTTGGGACGAAGGGCTAAGTGCGGTCTGCAGGAGGGTCCTTTCTGGAGATGGGTGGGTGGCGGGGGGCAGACGAGAGCCATGCTCCAGCCTGCAGTGAGGTCCTGAACACCCACCCCAACCCTCCCCATGGCAGTGACTATCGACGGGGCTCTAGGAGAACCCTGGCCATGCATGGAATCCTCACCACAGCTCTCCCAACGGTACCTGATGATCCCCACGTGACAGACGATGAAGCTGAGGTCACCCCGCTAGAAGTGAGCAAGCCCGGATTCCCCACTCAGCTCTGCCTCACTTTATAAAGTCCGGGCTCTTGGATCCCTCCCTCCGTGACGGTCCATAGAGACAGACATGCCAGACATCAGACTGACCCCAGGCCGGGAGTGGGTGGCTGGGGTGGAGGGGATACCAAATGCCCAAAAAGCTGCCCAAGCCCTCCTAGGGTCACACACCAGCTGGACCCCTGGGCCTCGTTTCCACTTGCAGAGAATGTTCTCTGCTCTCCCCTCCCCTAGTGTTCAGGGGCCTGCCCTGCGTTGTCTGGCTCCCTGCCACCCTCCCGGGGCTTCCCGGGGCTGTCAACTTCTCCAAGGATACAGCACGACCTTGGCTGGTGGCCCCAAGAGCCCCTGAGAGCAAAACTGACTTGGTTCTTGATCCTAGCGACTTGTGACATGCACGCCAGGAAACGTCGTGAGAAGAGCTGTAATAAGCTATCCAAAGTGATCGTCCCTTGAACGAGTTACTGCAGCCAAATTAGTCTGGATGAAAGGCACCGGGTGCAGGCACTTCTCGATCTGGGGGAGGAGGAAGGAAAAAATGATTACCCAATAGGTTTTAGGCTTTAATTGATTTGTATTTTTCCAGGCTGCTAAAGAAGATTAAATCGTGGTATGAAAAGCGCCTAGGGCTTAAAATAAATGAGGAGAAAGGCAAGTCATTTCAGAAATGTCCAGGAAGCAAACTGAACCTCTCCAGTGCAAATTGCAGGTTTGGTTGTTGTGTTCTTTGTTAGGGCGGGGCGGGGGGGGGGGGGGGGGGGGGGGGGGGGCTTCCTTTTCTTCCCCAGCTGTCTTTTCAGTTGGCTTTGACAAGCCAACCAAGGTGTGCGCGCTTTGAGGAAGCGGTCCTGAGGGGAAGAGGCGGATTTGCAGCCTTTTACAGTCGGAGGGCATGTCTCTGGGCACTTGGTGGCTGCTGGGAAAGGCTTTTGGCTAGGAGTCAAGACGCCAGCCCTGGCTCTGCCTCTGATTAATGAGTGAACTTGGCCAAGAGTTTCCCCCTTTCTGGACCTCACTTTATCTATAAAACAAGGGCGATTGGATTAGAATATCTTCAAGGGGACTTCTGATTCTAACGCTTTATGGTCTACAACTGATGAGAAAAGAGACCCAAAAATGGGAAATGACTGGCCCCAGGTCTTACGGTCAACTATTTGTTCACCATTCTGATCCTCCAATTTCTGACCTGTAAGATGGGAATGAAGGTACTTATTCCTGGGGGCTGGTGCAAATATTAAATGAAGTTACTACTAAATAGTAGCCCCGATGCGCTGTGCCCTTAATACACGCCAGGAGCCCGTACTTCAGGCATATGCGCTCACGGAATCCTTCCATAATCCCCACTTCACAGGGGGAGGAAAGTGGCGCCCAGAGCAGGCTCACACGGGTGGAGCCAGGAGTCGAACCCGGGGCATTCTGTATCACAGAAGCCAGACGCCCCGTCCATCATGTACCTACCCCATAGTTTTGTTAAGAACACAGCTCAAAACCGGCAGCTCCTTCTAAAAATGGCAACAGACAAAAGCTGGAGCTCCCAGCTCAGCGCCGCGTCCCATACCAGGCTGCCCCAGTCCCGCTGGGGATTGACGCGATTCGAAGCGCTCCTTCCTCCACCACGTCCCACCCACCAGGGGCGGCATCGGGGTTCCTTCCGCTCCCTCCCCTCCTCCCCCCAGGGCTCGGCGGGGGGGGGGGG